TAGTTTGTTGTGATTATATTTTCTTTCTTGAACTATTTCTTTTTTCTTCTGGTGTTAATAATTGCCTTTCCCCTGAAACTAAAAATATACTATATGTTAACTAAATTGAATTTTAAAAAATTTTAAAAAAAGTTTTGTTGAATTAGAGCATTTGAGTTTTCTTATACCTTCAAACACCTTTATAATATGCTTTTTTCTTTTTTTTTTTTTAAGATTTTATTTAGGGACACCTTGGTGGCTCAGTCGGTTAAGCGTCTGCCTTCGGCTCAGGTCATGATCCCAGGGTCCTGGCATTGAGCCCCATGTCGGGCTCCCTGCTCAGTGGGCAGCTTTCTTCACCCTCTGCCTGTCCCTCCCCCTGCTCGTGCCCTCTCTCTCCCTCTCTCTGACAAATAAAATCTAAAAAAAAAAAAAAAAGATTTATTTATTTGAGAGAGAGGGTGTGATAATGGGGGAGGGGTAGGCAGAGGGAAAGAGACGAGCAGACTCCACACTGAACACTCGGGGCTCAACGCAGGGCTCCATCATGACTTAAGCTGAAACCAAGAGTTGGATGCTCCACTGACTGAGCCACCCAGCCACCCCACCCCTAACATGGTTGCTTGCTTGCTTGATTTATTTTTTATTTGTATTTATTTTTTTCCCCTAACATGCTTCTTGATTAAAGTTTTTCCCATGTTGAGGTGCCTGGGTGGCTTAGTTAAGTGTCTGCCTTTGGCTCAGGTCATGATCCTGGGGTCCTGGGATTGAGTCCCACGTTGGGCTCCCTTTTCAGTGGGGAGTCTGCTTCTCCCTCTGCCCTTCACCCTGCTTGTGCTCTCTCTTGCTCAAGCTCTCTCAAATAAATAAAATTAAAAAAAAAAAAAGTTTTTCCCATGGCAAAATGAATCAGGTAATTATTTCGTTTGTTCTTTTTTCCTTGGAGTCATCCCTCATGGAGTTCTTTGCTCTCCTGCTTCAGTCTGGTCACCCCTGTCCTGACATTTTCCTTTGCTGCCATTCTTAGAATTCCTTTTATCCTTCTCATATGTTAGGGTTCCTGTTACCTAAAAGGGTTCCTGAACCCTTTAAGTTCTTTCTTGGTTTGCTCCCTTGTTTTGGGAAATGCATCCCTTGGTAGCTTCCTGGAAAATGCTGAGTTGAAAAGATAAAGGTTTTAAGAATTTGTGCATCTGTGTATATGCCTTTTATTTTGCTCTCACATTTTTTTTGGATGGGTAGGGATGTCTGCCCAACTGTCATTATTTAAGCTCTGTAAAATTTTCATTATGAAACATACCATGTATATAACTGTATAAATACAACTTAACGCTAGCACAGGGCGCCTGGGTGGCTCAGTTGGTTAACTGTCTGCCTTCAGCTCAGGTCATGATCCCATGGCTTGGCAGGAAGCAAAGCTGCTTCCATTAGGCTTTTGGACATTTGGGAAGTCGCTTTACTTGTGTGTCTGATATGAGCTGTCCAGGTTTTTTTTCCCCTCTAGCTTACTTTATTGTAAGAATAAAATAGTATATGTATACATGTAATACATATACAGTATATATGTTAACTGTTATTGGTAAGGCTTCTGGTCAACAGGTTATTAAATATAAAGTTTTGGGAGGAATCAAGAGTTATATGCAGATTTTTGTCGATGTGGAGTTCGGCACCCCTAACCCCCAGTTGTTCAAGGGTCAGCTGTACTTGGTTCTTCGGCAGCAGCAACGTGGCTTAGTCATGTGATGAGGTTAATCAGAAACATTGAAGACTGTTCCTTCACCTGGGTCTTCTCATATAAAACTGGCGTCATTTAACAAAACTGCTTTTGTAGGGAAAAAAGTGTTCCTAGCCAGGATCTTAGATGGGTTAAGAATGGGTCAATTTAGAAATTTCAGGTGTCACACTCTCACCTGTTAATAACTTACAATACATATGTTTTCTACTCATCTACACAGTAGCCATTACATTTGTTATAGAATTTAAGGGAAATTAATAGCCATGTAAGACTTAAGGTGAAGTCTCCTCTAAAATAATGAATTCTAACATCTGATTTCCAAATTCTCTTCAAATTTTAAGGACTTACTGTGGTATATGGTATACATAATGCCAAACTCACATGCATTTCATAGTGAAAATGTATCCTTAAATTTTGTTGGACTAGATAATCGCTAAGGCTCTTTATTCCTTAAAGAAAATTCCCATTAATTTTTAAACATTTTATAATGGAAATGTCCAAACATAAACAATTGTACAGAGAAAAATTAACCCATTACCCAGTTTGAATATTTAACAGTATATGGCCTATCTTGTATTTATAGTCAACCCCTATCCCTTCCTCCTCATCCAGATTATTTTGAAGCGAATCCCACACTTATTCTCCAGCTATTTCAGTAGCTCTTAAAGGACTCATTTCCAAGTCCTCTCTCTCTCTATTCCTACAAGATGTTCTTGGTTGAAAATGTTTTCACATGTAGTTTTTAAAGTGTTAACAATTTGAGCATTAATATTCGTGTTTCTTCCTTCTAGGGACTGGTTTGGTTGAAGGACAAAGAAGCAACACATTGTAAACTTTGTGAAAAGGAATTCTCACTCTCTAAGAGAAAGGTAAGGGAGATAGGAAGTGAGTCCAAAGGACTTGATGCAAACATGGCTTCTAATTTAACTCAGTTTTTTTCTTTGATTTTTCCATTTAATAGCACCACTGTAGAAACTGTGGGGAAATTTTCTGTAATGCTTGCTCTGACAATGAACTGCCTTTGCCTTCTTCACCAAAGCCAGTACGGGTTTGTGATTCCTGTCACGCATTGCTGATCCAGAGATGCTCATCTAATTTGCCATAAGACTCCAGAATTAAGTCCTTATGTATGAAAGTACCTACAATGAACGGTTAATGTATGAACCATGTACATGATGTATTTAGACAGCCCTTCTTAAGCAGCTTTCAGACTGTATTGGTACCAGTTTTATCTTCCATGTATTCAGTTCATGGGAATTAGAAGCTGTAGAATAGCTCATTGTTATTCAAAAAGAACTTTCAACAGGGCATGCTTTAAAATAACTTAATTCCTAATTGATGTAATAATCATGTAACTTATGAAGCCACCAGAAAGGCCAGATAGCAGAGCTAACACACATTTGCCTTATTTTGTAAAGGCCTTCTTAAAAATAGGGATTCAGATTCTTTTATTCTGCATATTGTCAAGTTGGTATTTGATGGTGCCTGTAATTTTAATGCACTTTAAAGCTTCACAGTTCTCAGAAAGATCAGAAATGCATTGAACTTTTTACAAGTATTAATATTCCAGTTCAACAGACTTTTCATTAGCTTGCTAAGGTTTCAACCTTAATTACTTGTCCTTTCTGCCCCACTTCCTTTGCCCATTTTGCATTAGAAAAGGCCAACTATTTTATTCTATAAAATTTCCTTTTGGTCTTCTTCTAATCAATGTATTTATTGATACTTTTCAGATATAGTAGGTTAAAGAGGTATTATTTTACCTTAACTTTTTCCTTATTTTGAAAGGAAGTTAAACCAGCCTTTTACATTAAGTTGTTACTTGCACAACTTTCCATATGCTACACCTGACTCGCCAAATTGCTGACTTTTTTAGGGAGGGCTCACACCTCTTCAAATTAAAAAGGAAAAATCCATCCCCAGAAAAAAAATGTTTATTAATAGTAAGCGATTACAGGCTCCTGATTGATTCTCCTCTAAGCATTAAAGGAGAAACCTCAAATAGTTTGTCTTTGATAGGATTTGAGTAATTAAAAATTTTATTCTATTTCCATTCCAGTAACCTTTAGGAAGCAATGTAGTGATCCACTACTGCAGTTATGTATAGAGTGAAGTATCAGCCCTGCCATGAAATACTTGATCTGTTTAGGAACCTTTAGGAACAATGTAGTGATCCACTACTGCAGTTATGTATAGAGTGAAGTATCAGCCCTGCCATGAAATACTTGATCTGTTTCAAGCACGAAAGACTTAATAAACACTAATCCCATTTTACCATACTTCTAGCACACCAAGAATATGTAAAATGTTACCCTTGTATAATTAATCCTTTGAACAGCATCACCACTTGGGAGATCCCCCCCCCCTTTGGTATTAACTTCAGCCATGCACTTTAAGTCTGAACCTTCCAAACAGGTTAGATAGGAATCTTTGGTTACTCCCTAGGAGCATTACATTGAGTGAATTAATCATGTCCACCCCCCCTCCCACCTAAGACGGGGTAACTTATTCTGCAGGATCCTCTCCTCAGAGTATATATACTTTCACTAGGGTTTAAAATTAATTTTCTAAATTGCCAAAGTATGAAACCAGTATTTTGAGATTTTCTCCATATCCAGTTAGCTTTTGAGGTCTTCAGTTAGAACTGTACAGATTTTTAGGTGGTCCTTCTTGAATGCCAACAGAAATATTGTCAAGAGAATTATATTCTTGAACTGTTTTGTATTGATGGGATGATTAACATTTTTATGATTGTTAAAAATGAGAATAAGCAAATGAAATTTCAAATACTAGGTTTATTATTACTGTGCTTATTAGTACAAATCTTAAAATGTGATTTTGCCTAAATTCCAAAGCTGGGTTTCATTCAACAAGTAAAACCATGATTTTCAGTTCCCCCTTAAATTCTTTGTTATTCAAAACTCCTGTTTAATCACCATTGATTTTTGGGCTTTTTGTAGTCAAGCTTTTATGGCAGCAATACAATTTGCTTCATTTAGTTTGGGCTCTTATTTAAAAGCCATTTATACTAAATGTTGGATTTTGTTATAAAACTTCGTTTGTATTGTGAACCTACACTTTCTAATCTTCAAGATTTGCTCTCATAGAAAGTATTTATCTTAATAAATTTCACATACCATTCCCTTGTCTAGCCAGTACTACCATAATAATGCTATCATGGTGCCAAGGAATTGTGACTGTAATTCTTCTACTCTGCAATGTTTTAAAATGTGAATTTTATAAACCAAATAAAAGATATGAAAAAATTAGCCTTTCAAAGGGCAACTTGCATTTACAACTTTTTATACCTTTATTACTTAGATTTTAATAAGGCAGGTCCTAGGAAAATAAAAGCACACAGTATCTTTAAAAAAAGGTAAATGGTATGAGCCTAATATTTAAATGGGTAATTTAAGGGAGGGGTACAAACATTAAAACGGATCACTGCTTGAGCCGGTAAGTTCCATTTAAGCTAACACAACTTCCTTCTCTAACAGAAATCACTCCTTAGGTGTCACTTTACTTAATGTTCACTTAAGAGTATCTTCTACCAATTTTACAATCAGTAACTGACACAAAAGCATTCTAGGACAGAGGCCACACTATTATCTCCCACATTGATATTTATTACATTAATAACATTTCTAGCAAAAACAAGTAACAAGGTCAATAACTGAATTCACATTGACAGGTTTCATTTTGATCCATTAGCCAATTTGGAAAAAAAAACCATATTGATCAAAGGGATTAAAAGTAAAAAGCACCTTTTCCTTGCTACATATAGTATTTTTTAACACAATAGCTCTAAAACTCCAAACAGATACCAAATGTAAAATCCAACTTCCAGGACTCATTTTAATTGAAACTATCACATGGACTTGTCTCTTACATTTGTTTAGTCATTTATACAGTTATTGAAAAACCATATGCTTTATTGGGCAGGAAAGCTGAAAATACAGCTGTGAGAATTATACTCCACAGTAAATATTCTTGTACTGAATTCTCATGTCACTGAGAATCTTAACCTAGTCTAAGACATTTTGAGATCACTTACTTACAACTATTACTTTTTTGGAAACATTTTTTGGTACTCCAGTCAAGTGCTGAGTGAATTTTATTCTAAAATCTAGGGCTAGAATTTACTTCCAACATTCTCATCCCCAGGTAACACAATTATGAATATTCAGAAATCCAGATACCTCTTAAGATATTCAATGTTTCAGAGCTATGCCTGGATAAATGGCATTTGAAAAGAATGACTAAAATAGAAATTAGCTGAGTTTATACTCCTGAAGCCACCGACACTCATCTTTAGGTTTTTATATTTACAGTATTGTCCAGGAGAAAAAAAAGTTGCACTATTTTCCAAGTTCTATTCCAGATGTCTGCTTATTAATAAGACTTGTAGTTTATGCAAAGGTGAACCACTGTCCTCTAAAATTGCACTACACTACTTCTTGTAGAGCTAATAGTAAAATACATCAACCCAAATCTTATGAAAGCAGCACATCTTTCGGGAGTAACTAGTATATAAAAAGTATCAACATCAGTGGTTTGAATATAAAAATTTATTTTTAAGTCAAAGTATGCAACAAATAAAACCTACAGAAAACAGATTTTCCCATCACAATCTGTTGCTTTACCAAATAATATTTTGAAAACACATTCCTTCAGTCATTATAAAGTTCTTAAAATACAAAAGAAATTAAATCTGTAAGAAAGTCTAGTAGACCAGACGCTGTTGTCAGGACTTTTATGTTGGTGGTTATGCTTTAATACATGCCACGCCATCCACCTCCACTCATGCCACCTTGCCCATAGTAACCGCCACTGCCTCCACCACCACGGCCTTAAAAAAAAAAAAAAAAAAAAAAAAAAATTGTTAGCAGGAAATATCCGTGCATACTTCATTGAAGATAATACATGAATTTAAAAGTATCTACATACATGGGGACTAACAAATCAAACCACAGTAACCAAGGACACTTACCATAACCACCCAAGCCATCAGGAGTACCATATCCTCCACTGTAATTGTTACCCATGCCCATTCTTCCAACAGATCCATAACCTCCCTGATTATCTTTAAAAGGGAAAAAAAAAGTGTGAGATTGTTTGCTAAGTGTGTAACTCTGCTCATTTTAAAAACTTTACCTACCCATTCCATCTCTGCCGTAGCCACCCATTCCAGAACCTCCCATTCCAGAACCGCCTCCAGGAGTAGAATTCAGGAAGAGTTCAATGTACCGATGTTCTTTAAGACAAAAAGTAATAGGGAAGCAATGATGGATCAAAATTTATCAATAAAAGGATAATTGGCAAATATTAACCTGTGCTAGTATTAGCCTGAAAGTGTATTTCTATACTTCCTAGTGGAGTGATGAATGCCAGGTAGGGCTAAAACCTAACCTACCAAATTTTGTTCAAACTGCACAACACTACACATAAAACGTGGTCGGGGCCTCCGTTTCCTCATCTATAAAAGGGGCTGATTCATTATTTTAGAACCAGTCACTGTGCTTCTTAAAAATACATTCCATGTCCAAAGAAATGAATTCCAATCATGAAAATAATGTCCATGAAAACTTATTTACTGACTACAGCTTAGAATAGCTCTGATGGCATGTAGAAATAATTACCCAACTAACTTAATGGATGGGTTAAAAAGTGGTAATTTGCAAATGGCATGGGAACTCAAGTGAGTGCCAAGTAATATACCTATTTTCCCTTTTTAATTGAGCTCAGATAACCTGTCAAGTATTGAGTCTGAATTAACTCTTCAATAAAAAACCCCCTGGAAAGCCATCTTAGAGGCCATATGGCTTCAGGTCCCAGTGACTGCCAAGAGTTACCTACAGACCCTGTAACATCTTATATTTGAGGAATTACAAATGTTATTTCATAAGCAAGTTCACATCTAAGAAAAGAGATAGCAAGCCAAGGATACCACTTACGCATGTTATTCTTATCTTTAGACATGGCAGCTACAGCATCTTCATGTGTCACAAATTCTACGTCTGCCTCTCCTGTTGCTCTGCCATCAGCTCCGATATCAATATGCACTCGTATGGGATTTAGTGGTGAGAAGAACTAAACAAAAGAAAACACTTATTACTAATTTTTCTTTTTTAAAAGATTTTATTTGCCAGAGAGAGAGAGAGAGAGGGAGAGCACAAACGGGGAGCAGCAGGCAGAGGGAAAGGGAGAAGCAGGCTCCTTGTTAAGCAAGGAGCCCCATGTGGGACTTGATTCCAGGACCGAGATCATGACCCGAGCCGAAGGCAGACGCTTAACCATCTGAGCCACCCAGGTGCCCCACTAATTTTTCTATTTAGATTATTCAAAGTAAATTACCACATACTTTGGTTTTCCCTCATCCATTAAAACAAACCTTTTTACTGCCCTGTATTGCAAAGCTAACAAATCAACTACAAAGGTTCTGGAAATATAAACTAATGCACTTAAGAGGAAAATGCAAAGAAACGATCTCTTTAAAATAAGCTACGTGGGGATGCCTGGGTGGCTCAGTCATTAAAAGCATCTGCCTTCGGCTCAGGTTGTGATCTCAGGCTCCTGGGATGGAGCCCTGCATCGGGCTCCCTGCTCATCAGGGAGCCTGCTCCCCCCTCTCCTTGCTGCTCTACCTGCTTATACTCTCTCAAATAAATAAATAAAACCTTTTAAAATAATTTAAATAAAGTAAGCTAAGGGGGGGGAAGCTAAGTGAGTAAAAAAAATTAATAATAAAAATCTAACCCAAAGCATAGTTCACTCTAAATAAATGAAAACGTCTCATACCCTACCACTAAGAGGGAGAATTTAACTCCTCCGTTCCCACTCCTCCCAAGAAAGATATTTCAAAATTACTGTTTGAAGGATAAATAGGTCACCAGAGACTTAGAAACATGTGCAGAGAATTTAGGTGTTATGATTCAGACCAATGGAATTTGACAAACTGACACAAACTGTACATGGATATCTCCAAAATATATCACTTAGTTGTAAATCACAAGTTAATCAGGTTAAAGGAATCCTAGAACGTACCTGGAACTTAGGACCAATCAGTTCCCAGTAAGATCTATAGGTAAATTTCTTTCAGAGCTACGTAGTAAATAGTCCTGGCTTTGTAGGCCACTAGATGTCTACTGCAACTACTCAACAGGTAAATGAATGGGTGTGACTAGATGCACATGGACTGAAGTTTGCAGATACTCTAACCAATTTGAAACCGACCAGTTTCAAAACAGCAATAGCATCTACTCCCATTATTTTCACAGCTCCTGTTTCTAATCACGCTGTAGCTACAAAGCTGAACCAAACAACTAAACCTTATTCACTTTTTATATTTTCCACTTTCAAAACTTGACACAAGGGCAATTATCTTCCAGTCCTCTCCACTCTATGCTGATCAATCTTTTCACTAAATTCTTAACTAGACTTTATGAATACAACTTTCTACTTGCTTGAGTCCCAGATAAGTCAGCATACAATGGACAAAAAAATGTTCGTCAACCAGTATGATAAGAATATGTACATTTCCTATTAAAGGGATTTTGACATTAAAACTATAAAGAAAAAGATGAGAGCATTAAGAATGCTTCAAAACTAGATACCAGATAAAATATAAAATCACTGATAAATTACTCACATTAGCAATGTCATTTTCAGTTGCACGAAAAGGTAATCCTCTCATATGTACAAAATGACCACCATGAAAACCTGAACTTGCATCACCAGCTCCACCATAGCCATGTCCTCCCATACCTAAGAGAATAAAATTTCCAAAGATTATCAACTACTGATACATGTAGTAAAGCATTTCAACAAAACACTTCTTCCCTACACATACCTTTTCCTATTTATACCTTTTTCTTTGACAACCAATTAATCTTAGTAGTTCTAAACATCGAATCGAGAATTTACCTGGAAGTATACATCTATATAAAGCCCCACATAGGTATGTTCTGAAATATGCTCAAGCTGACGATTTCATGCAAGTCACCTTTTACCACCACTAAATGGTTGTAAAACAAATACTTAACATTCACCTAAAAAGGAGTATGTCTTTAATATTTACCTCTTCCATCTCTCATTCTGTCATCAAAGCCATCATTTCCATAGCCATAATTATTATAGCCACCATAGTCATCAAAACCTCCATAACCTGTGTAATTTAATGAGAAATACATGAATACACTTTCAAGAGATAAATTTTATAATCCAGTTTATAAAATCATTTTGTGGTAAGCAGTCTGGTTATTATTACAAGTTTACAACTCCCAACTTAGTGCATGTGAAAAAAAGCAGTAACACTCGGTGGAAATAAAAAAAACTCAAAAGAATACATTTAAGACATCAAAATTAACTTTCATCCTGATGTCAAACAGAAAGTGTCAAAATATGCCAATATCTTCATTTTAATTTCTGTATAACTTCTCTAGGTGCCAATATGTGCATCAATCAAGTCCCATAGCTGGCCACGGGAATCCATATTTTCATGAACAGGTTTTAAAACCTAGTAGGTACTGAAATTACTGCCATTTCTATATTTCTTGACAAAGTGTCAGGAACATTAAGAAAATGACAACAGAACCTTTGTTCATTAGATACACATACCACCATCATATCCATCACCTCCTCGTCGCATTCTGTCATACATACTTCCACGCCCAGCTCCATAATAACCCCCTCTTCCTCCTATCGGTCTATCATATGGTCCCGGTCGCTGGCCCAGCAATCTTCTTGGTGGATCATAAAATCCTTTGATTTCACTCCTGCTACTTCTGAAGATCTCAATATACCTATTTAAAAAATGGTTTAAGGTACAGGTTTCAGCGTAAATGTATTAGAATAAATAAGATATTGGGCAAAAATGCAGTAAGTTTTTCTACATCTAGATACATAACCCAATTTAAACTGCCTAAATACACCATAAATTAACATTTTTTACACCTACAAACTTAGTTAATATTTAAGTTTTACATAGACAGATTAGTCACTTGAAAATAATTCATATAATATATTTTTAGCTTGTTTCCTTTAGTACATAATAGGTGTTTAGAGAAAATAGCTGATTATACAAAAGCATTTATCAACAACATCCTACAGAGAAATGGAAACAATCTAATTTTAATTTAAGCAAACTATTAGCATTAATTCCCCACCCAAATCTGTAGTTTCCAAGTTAAATTTAGATAATTATCAATTCTTTTAAACTACCCCAGAAAAATGTTATTGTAAACCCCCCATTAAGCAATAGTGACCCACAACCCCCAAAAAATAAAAATTTAACACCATCCCAAACTCTCCATCCCCACCTGTGCCCTATTCTTTCCTTGTGTTTCCCCAGAGCATTTTCTGCTATCTCCTTTGAAGCAAACTGCACGAAGGCCTCCCCTGTGCTTCTCCCCTGGTAGTCCATCGTCAATGTTATCCCATTTGGCACGATTTCCAACCCTTTAACCCAAGGACAAATAACCCCATCAAGGGGAACAGTGTTAAAGGCTGAAACATTCCCATCTGAATCAAATATTTAAAACAAGTCTAAACAAAACAAAAACAAAACAAAAAAGCTTAAGTTTCCCATCACCCCGTAATACAAGCGGAAGATTTTTTCAAATATTACTGGATTACATATTTTTTTGCAACCAGTCTTTTTAAATTACACACACTAAAAGCTCACCTATATTACATTAAAAAAGCTAAATCAAATTTAACTATGCTCCATATAATTCATGGTTCATTTCATCATACATAATTATTCTCAATTAAGCTTAATGCACATTAGTTAGGTTTTACATATTCTACACATTCTGTATTCAGTACTAACTGGAGCATATTTCATAATACATTAACCAAGATATCGTATTCAAAAGTCCCCGAAACAAATGGGTTTTACAAATTAAAAACTGAGTAATATAATAAAAATATAAAATTAAAATACTACTAAACTTTTACTAATACTAGAGGTACCTTGAAAGAACTGAACTATTTCCTCTTTGCTGCAACCAAATGGCAGTCCACGAAGTCGTACTGTCCCATCACTAGCGTCATTTGGACCATTATGTTTCATAACCCAATCCATCTCAATAACGTTTGATTTAAATGCTATAAAAAATAAACAAGCACATAAAGCAGTCAATCAAAATATACTCTTGCTACAGGTACTGAAGAAACATCATCGCTCAGTGGTGCACAACAGGAAATATAACATATGGCTTGTTGACAATGCCACAATTCAAAGGCATGACACCTTCCCATTTTGAGGTAGGCAAAAAGACTAGGAAAAGTGAGTGATACCTGACCCTCCCCTCCGAAAAGTACCAAATTTCTAAGGGCCAAATTTTATATAATGCCCAATCTTAAGAAAGCTTACATAATTACAATATTAGTCTTCAAATTCTATTTCTTGTCATCTTGACATCAACTCTAGTCTTTTCCTCATCTCTCAAATTTTCATTCACATTTTTTCAGGTTTTACTTATTATTCATTTGAATCATGTAAATTCTTTAAAACTTAATTACTCAAAAGCTGCACATAGCACCACTGTCCACTCACAGCAAGAGCCTAAGTCAAAAGGTCAATGAGTACTTCTCTGTTAGAAAAATGGCATTACAAAAAGTCTTAACTTTTTAGATGCACTTTTAATTCTGAACACATCAAATTGTTTTTGAAGGAGGAAAAATTCCTATCTCTAAAGCAAGTTTTAAAATGAGTTAATTAGGGTGAGTTTTAAAATTGAGGTAAAAGTCCACTCAAAAGTGAATGCCTTCCAACAGTACCGGTGTTTTTTGAAGCTACCTACTGGGAAGTTACTGGAGATAGTACATTCAAAACCAGTTCACTCACTGCTTTACATTTAAACACAAATTTTAAAAAATGTAATACATTAACATTCAAAAAGTATTTTAGGGTACAGTGAGAAGCCCTCCTAGCCCTCCAAAAAGAACCCATCCACACCCAGTTCCCTTCCCAAAAGACAATAGTCCTTTCTTTTAGAATTCCAGAACACTTTAAGGAGGCTAATGCAGAAGTCCTTCAGCTGCAAAAACTTACCAGATCTTACAAATTTCACTAAGCAGCTGTAGGAATCCTACTCACCTGAGTATTTCAAACCTTTCCCTCACCACCTCCTCCCCTGTAAACAAGACAATTTGTTCACTTGATTCCTTTACGCTTCAACATAGTTCATAACAGTGTTCACTAATACTTGATTTCACACCATCTAATTATATCACTCCAACTGTTAGGGGGAGCATCTGCAAAGAGTAAAATTTTTTTCCTAGAATATGTGCATTTAAAATAACCTAAGGTAGAAAATTTCCGAATGCGTTTATTAATCAAATACCTCTGCGTATGAATCACCTTGCATACTTGTTTTGCTGTTTTAAAAATCCTGGCAGTCACTCTAGACATGGAGATCCAAAGTGGGAAGACTAAGATTTTTTTTATCAGACATTACAACTAATTTTTAGGCACCTAAAATGGATATGCATTTTTAAGGGGGAGAGAGAGGGAGAAAGGGAAACTGGTTTTGAATCCCTATTCTGCCATTCACTGGCTGGTTGATTAAACAAACTTAACCTCTGTGTTCAGCTCTAAAATATAACAGTGGTGCCCATACCTCTCTAGACTGTTTTAAGACTTATTTATAATGCTTAGTCTGCAGCATGGCATTCATTCGATGGTAGCCTTGTTACTGGATTTTAAGGGACCCTCCTGTAAAACTACTGAAATATACCACAAAATAAATGAACCTTAAAGGATGGAAAACTATCCCCAGTCCTGAAAAGAAGTAAAGATAGTTACAAATTGTTTCCAAAATCAACTTAGGCTTGCTTCCATAGAATTTGTCAAGGTGGGGGGGTGAGGTGAGGATTTTTGGAAATGTTTACTATAACATGTGTTAGCTAGATAAAAAATACTGTTCTAGAGTAGTCCCGAAAGTACACCCTGATTGAGTCTGGGAAAAAAGTTGAGACATACTGAAGATCTTCTTAAAAAACAAAAAAAAGCCCCCAAAACTTAAAACCAAACAAACAAAAAACAAAAAATCAAAACAAAACAAAAACACTTCTCTATAAAGGATGATTCAAGAATGGAAGAAAAAAGTGGAGAGGAGGTAACATCACGTTACTTCCTCATGAAAAATATTTAGTATTTTGCAAAACCAATCTAATCTGTTGTGAAAAGACAGTGTGATGCTTTTTATCATTTAGCCCATTTCTTTCTTCATTGTAACACTGGGGAACACACACAAAAAAGGATGGGAAATTGACTTATCTTTACTATAAAATTTAGCCCTTTCCAAGAAACACCAGCAAGCAAACTAGTTTTGGTTTTCATCAGTCCACACCAAAGAGACCTATATAAAACAAAATATTAAGTCTATAAAAATCACACTATCCTATTAACGCAATTTTAAGTTGACGAAAAATTAACCAGATTCGGAAGACAACTATTTTATTGGATGACTTTCCACCGCACATGTATTAAGAGTACACAACTTAAAGCCACACTAGACTTCTTCAAAACTCAAAATGTGACTCTAATTCTACTTACAAAACAAAACCAAGACAAACTCTGGAGGCATACAAAAAGACAATCTGCTGTAGTACATTAATAAAGCTGTCCCGGAAACTACCTAGAGTTTACTAATTATTCAGGATAATCCATCTCAACCTTTCTTTCCAACAATGTCATGACTAATCTCAATTCTGCTTTAAGACTGCCAAGTGTTAGCACCAATTAAAAATACCAGCAGTTGAACTAAGATAACTGTAGTCAGTTTTGAATAGAAGTTTAATTTCCTAAAAGTTATGCTAAGTGAAAGAAGCCAGTCACAAAAGTCCATGTACGGTATGGATTTTAAATGGGTGAAGTTTATGGTATGTGAATTGTATCTCAAAGCTGCTAAGCACCTAACAGAGGTCAAATGAAACACTGAATTCCTTTGTAACACAGAGGCATATACTACTATCTTCTGAAGTATAATACATAAAGTTAGGGTGTGATGCACCAATAGATAACTTTATAAATGGTAGCCAGCTGGTCCTAAAAAAAAAAATGAGAATGTTCTTCAAACTTTGGCAAAAAGTGGTACTAACTAAAATGAAAAATTTACATCATTTCCCCTTTCCAACGTGCTTGCTCCTTAATTTTCCAGTAGAAAAAGTAGACACACAACTAATACCTAAAGGGAGGTGAAGTCTGAATGTATAAAGGAGTTCTTCTCTAAAACAAAGTTACCATCACCTACTGCAGCTCAGCCTCTTGTTTACCAAAGTAAGAACACCAAAAAAATAACCTGGTTATTAAAAATATAAAGGCAATCAGATGGGTTTCCAGATCATGATGCAGATGAAAGAGGGCAGAAAAAGGTTTCTAGAGTAATCCAATCAGGAAAGCGGTTTTATGATGTACTACTTTACAGGAAACTGGCCTTTTTTCAAAAGCTACTAAAAATCAGACCGTCTTCAACAATAGTAAGGTTGTTTTTTAAAGCTGAAAAAAGTAGGTAATAGAGTTCTTGTAAGGACTCAAAGCTATTATTGGAAACTGTTACTCTCAAGCTGCCTGTCACTTTGTACCCTACTCAATGAAAAGTACAGACCCAGTTCTCTTGTGTTCTAAGGACCAAAAATCACCACACCACCACAGGACTGGGCTTTCGGTTTGTCTTTTTGTTGAGTAGGCCTATTTTCTGGGTCATAATACTACCACAGTCCTATACTAAAAAAATAATGCTTAGCTACCAAAAGTAAAATAAACGCTAACTGTATTTTGATGTATTTTACTTCCACACCCTTTTTGTTACATGTTTTGCACAACATGTAACCTTTGGAGATTTAATACTGAAAACTCGGTAACTCAACTGCTACACAAATTTTTGCCATCACCATCACTAATTGTGTTTTAACAACTGTTTCCCAAAGGTAAAACTCCTACGTAAATGATAACCCAGTATGTGCCAAACTACACAAAACCATTGCTAAACCACCCACCCCCGCCCAAAAGTTCAGGAAGCTATTATATAATTCACTGGTCCTAAACGACCTATTTGAAATATGCCCATTTCACATTCCTATTTGGTAAGTCACCCGCTTACTGCTTACAAAACATTTACCCACAAAGTGTTTACGTTTAAGATAAACGTGAGAAGAAAAAAAAAAAAAAACACCCTTTGGAAAATGAGTACGTACTCTTTTCGAAGTTCCAAATCTGGAATATAAGGGCCGGCTAAGCGTCCTTTATTCCTCCCCGGAGACTTTTCGTTTATCTAGCTGCCCTAGAGACCAGAGAGCTAAGGAGAGTACGCCCCTCCCCGCCCCACCCCCGCCCCCTCTCCGTCCGGCAGCCAAGCCTGGCTTTAAAACCTTCGCCACCGGGCGGCGGAATTACAAAGGAGGCCGACTGCCTCCTTTGTCCTGGATTTGGGAGTTGAGCGCCTTCGTCGCCATTGGCTTTCCTCCCCCAGCTCCAGCCTCTCTCATCTTGGGAATCTGCGTCAGAAGTCACTCGCAGTCCCGCCAGCCCTGGTTGCCCTGCCGAGACTGCGGAGGAAGGGAGGCCGCGGTGGGAGGCCAGGCCCATCCGGCGCCATTTCCATCGGGAGCGCGCCCGCCAGCCCAGACCCCCCCCCCCAAGTGCCCAGTCTTTCCCAGCTCGCTTCGTTCCCCACCCTCGTCCCTTCCGGGGCGCTCTGACCTTCCCCCGCCCCCACCCCGTCCCGGCCTTCTAAATCAGTTTTCGGAAGCTCAGGGGCAAAAAGTAGAAAGAGGGGAAGGGCGGGAAGCCGAGGTGGCGGCGCCACCGTACTCAAAATGGCGGAGGCCAAACCAGCACGGAAAGAGGGGAAATGCTGGATGACCCCCACTCCGGGCCTCAGTTTCGTCCACTGAATTTCACCCGAGCATGTCCTCCCCCCAGCAGGCCGCCCTCCTTGAAGTGGGAGATCGCCTGGGAGGCGCAGTCTGGCCGCCTCCGAGCGGCGACCTCCACACTTCCCCCCCCACCCCACCCCCTCCCAGTCTCTTTCGTCCTTCTCCCGACTCGGCTCTCGAAACCACCAGCCCAACCTACCCCCTTTTACTTCAGATACCCTGTCGGGCGACAGTAACGCCGACTCCGGTGCTCGCGGGGCCGGTCGGGAAGAGGAAGAAGTCGCTCGTCTCGTGTAGCACTCGCCACAACGGTCCTTCCAACCGCCTCCACCAGCGACAACCGCTAAGAGAGCTGCGCAGCAGAGCGACTGGCTTGGGGGGATGGGAGAGAGCGAGCGAGAAGGAGGGGGTGGGGCGAGAGCAACGAAGACCGACGGGCCCACTCTCGCGAGACAAGAGCCTCGATCCCGCCTTGGCGCTTAAGCAAGAAGTGCGCTTGCGCGCTAAGGGGTTGTCCTGTGTGTTGGGGAAGCAGTGGAAAGTAGCGGAGCTGGTCCCGTTAGAAAAAGACGTGGATTACTGTAAAACTGTTAAATGCTTAGAGCCTACCTTTCTGCCCACTCCGGGAGGATGTGAAGTGACAGTAGTAGTTCTGCCAGTGTGTGTTGAAGCGGTTTGGAGAAGTTCGATTCTCTGTCCGCACCAAGAACAGATTCCGTAGAGGCCCCACCCATACCCCTGCGTCACCTGCAGGAAAGGGATGCCACGTGGTTCGGCGGCCAAATGCGAGGAGGGCTTTTCTTGTCAGGTTTGTGTTATGCAGTAAAAATAAGTGTTCCCCCCGCCCCCCCGCAAAGATACAGAAGTGTCCTCCAGACCCCCATTTTGGCTCTTGGTCTGGGATTCCTTCCCTTCCGCGGCACTAGGGCACCGGCCCCGCCCCCCTCCCCACCAGCGGGTCTCCTCCCCTGAGGCCTCTCAATTTCCCCTTTGATAGTCCCAGGAGAAAGTTACTCGCTTTCTCCTGTGCCTTCCTGTTCTTTCTTGCTTTTCATCTCTCCACTTGTCTTTATTGAAGTATAATTAACATACAGTGTTATATTAGTTTTAGGCGTACAACATTGATTGGACAATTCTATTCTCAGTGCTCATTAGGAAAGTGTCACCGTCTGTTACCATATAATGTTATTATAATGTTATTGACTATATTCCCTATCCTGGGCTTTTCATCTCTGTGACTTATTTATTTTATAACTAGAAGTTTGTACCTCTTAATCCCCTATATCTATTTCACCCATTCCCTCTGGCAGCCACCAGTTTGTTCTCCTTATTGAGTTCATTTGTTAATTTTTGTTTGTTAGTTTCATCTCTGTATAACCTCAGTGACAAATCAGGCACTCGTGACTGAGGAGTTCGGGTTGTTTTCTAAATAGGGCTTTGCATTCTTGAAAATTGCACGTACAAGTGACACCTAATACTTTTGGGTTGTGCTGGCCTACCACCAAGGTCCTTAGTGACACCTTATGGCTTTTTTTTTTAAGATTTTTTTTTTTTTTTTGCGAGAGGGAGAATGAGAGACAGAGAGCATGAGAGGGAGGAGGGTCAGAGGGAGAAGCAGACTCTCCGCTGAGCAGGGAGCCTGATGTGGGACTCGATCCCGGGACTCCAGGATCATGACCTGAGCCAAAGGCAGTCACCTAAAAAACTGAGCCACCCAGGCGCCCGGCTTTTTTTTTTTTTAATAAAAAAAAAAAATGCAAGCCAAATTTCTGTGGGAAGGGTGCAGGACGGTCTTGGTAAAGAGATCAAAGCAAGTTAAAGTGCAAATGTAGGAACCGTTATGAAGTGCAAGGGAGGGAAAGAAATGAATTTGAACACAGGGATGTTCCTGTAGGTTGGAATGTGGACCAAACTAGGTTGCAGGCCTTTAATATCTAGCCAAAGACCTTGTACTTTGGACTACAGACGTTGGGAAGCCCTTGGGGTGGAATGAGGGGGTATAAGGGGTATAAGGGCTGTTAGCAGTGGAGAAGCTTGAATAATTCTTTACCCCATGAGATCTCAGATGTGTAGGGTGGAGGCAGGAGGCCAATTACCTGCATATAATGGACATTTCCATGTCATGGTTTAATTCACCCTCAAACCTGCTTTAGACAGGACAGTAAGAATTGGCCAGGTCATAGTGCCCTATTGCTTTTCTTCAGCCCACCCCCTCAAAATACCTCTTAGAGAAAGGGGGATGGGACAGTGTGGTCATCATTACAAGACACAGAAAAACAAAACCTGGATAATGTAACATTATGATTCATATTTATTAAGAGCTTGCTTGAGGGGCTCCTGGGTGGCTCAGTCGTTAAGCGTCTGCCTTCGGCTCAGGTCATGATCCCGGGGTCCTGGGATCGAGCCCCGTATCGAGCCCTGCATCGGGCTCCCTGCTCGGCAGGAAGCCTGCTTCTCCCTCTCCCACTCCCTCTGCTTGTGTTCTCTCTCTCACTATGTTTCTATCTGTCAAACAAATAAAATCTTTTTTTTTTAAGATTTTTATTTATTTATTTGAGAGAGAGAATGAGAGAGAGCACGAGAGGGAAGAGGGTCAGAGAGAGAAGCAGACCCCCCGCTGAGCAGGGAGCCCGATGTGGGACTCGATCCCAGGACTCCAGGATCATGGCCTGAGCCGAAGGCAGTCGCTTAACCAACTGAGCCACCCAGGCGCCCACAAATAAAATCTTAAAAAAAAAAAAAAAGCTTGCTTGAGCTAGTGCTGTGCTCAATCCATTGACTCCTTACAATCCTAAAGGATAATCATTATTTTTGTCCCCATTTTACAGATGAGATGCCTGAGTTTGAGAAGTGCAAAAAGTTGCTCAAGGTCACACCCCTAGTAGGTGCCTGGGTGGCTCAGTGGGTTAAGCGTCTGCCTTCAGCTCAGGTCATGATCCCAGGATCCTGAGACTGAGTCCTGCAGCCAGTGGGCTCCCTACTCAGTGGGGAATCTGCTTCTCCCTCTCCCTCTGCCCCTCCCCCCGCTCCTGCTTGCTTGCTTGCTCTCTCAAATAAATAATTAAATCTTTTTTTTTTTTTTTTTTAAAGGTCACACACCTAGTGAAGAAGCTAGAATGTGAATCTAAATGGTTTTACTCCAGGGGTTATGGTCTTAAAGCACTCTGGACCTTCTTGGGGTTGCAAGTAACTTAACTATGCATTCAGGGAACAAACATCATTTTAGGCAAATTGAAGTTACTTCCCCTAACAAACATTACCAACTCAGGAGACCAGCAGTTAATGATTCATTGGCTGGAGACTTTTGAACAGGCCTGAAACTTGACATCCTGGTGTCACTGACACCTTGAGCCCCTCCCCCCAGTTAAAAAAATTGCTGTATTAGTAAGACTCCAAGCTCCCACACTTCAGATGGAGTTCTTCCCTGAGTTCAAGTTACATCACTACGATACTCTTTCAATCTTTCAACCTGATTTGGTAGATGGAATTCTGTAATCCCTTTCACCCCTTGCCTGAATTCAAACAATATATTTAGTGCCTGATTGAGTTTGGCATTCTTTCCACATAATTTGTATGATTATGGGCCACAATCCTAAAATCATTCTAATGACTTTTCACCACTGAACTGCAATGTTTTCTTTGTGTCTTGGCCACAGTTCCCTTATATGAGGCACTCTGCTGTTTGCCAGTGTGAATGCTTAGGAAGGACTTGAAATTAGTACGTGCATTCCTTTTGCTTTTTTATTATTACAGAAAGTAGGAAGCTTTGAATTTGAAAAAAATGTACACTAGTTTTGGGGCAAACCTAATCTTTTTTAAATGATTTTTGTTTTTATTTATTTTTTAAAGTAATCTCTATACCCAATGTGGGCCTTGAACCCATACCCCAGAGATCAAGAGTCTCATGCTCTACCAACTGAGCCAGCCAGGCACCCCAGGGGCAGATCTAATTTTTATTTGTCTTCCTATTTTACTACTCTTCTCAAAAAGAAAAAAAAAAAAGTCTATCTAGTATTCCCATTTGCAAATTGAATTCTGTAAGTCTTGGTGAGATTGGTTCACCACTGCTCCAGTGATCCCTACAGAATTGTTTCCAGATTGATCTCTGTGGAATTGTTTCCATAGAGATGGTTAGAACTGAGGGCTCCCAGCTGCTTTCGGGATTTTGTTTTCTCTTTGTCTTCCTTTTGGTCATTTCAGTGCTTCAGTGCTTTTCCTGTTAGCATAGAGATCAGAGGGACCCTGGAGAGGATCTTGTCAGAGGCCATAATGAGAGAAAAGATGAAAAAGGAGAAGGAAATGGAAGTACCCACACCACCAACAATGAACATGTGATCATATATTACACCATCAGGATGAAAGGAGAGGAAAATTCCATGCAGAGCCCAGAGAAAGAGAAAGAAAGAGAAATTGAAAGACAATGCACCCTTCTGGGAGAGGGAAGGCACATTCACTAAAAATTAGTTAAGATCGTTGTTTGCATTACCCCAATGGCATCCTAAAATAACATAAAAACTGGGTTACCATAATCTTTTTGCCATTATGGAAAGCAAATAAGCTAAAAAAGGTAGCAAAACCCACAAATAAGTTTCTAGGAGTATGTTTAATTAGTTAATGCCTTTTTAAAACTAAATCTGCCTTACTAAGATTTTGTGAAATGCTTGTTCATATTTGTCTTTAGAAATTAGTGATCTTCCTTGTCATGATTCAAAATTATTTCTCAAGACAAGGCTTAATTACACAGTTTATATGCTTGATACTTTTTTGTTTTTTTCAGTCATCCAAGTGTTCATTCTGGGACTAGGGAAACCAAAAGGGGTTTAATGATTATACACTAAGTAAACAAATGGAAACTTAAAAGGAAGAAAGCACCTAACACACTCTTTCTGTAATTTTTAAAAATAATTAGAAGTATTAAACACTCTTTCTGTTCTAGTGGATTGTTGTGAAGAACAGGGACAACAGCTATAAAAGATAGCTACTTAGGATTTTAAATCAAATTATTGTACAGCTTTTAGTGTGTCAAAAGCACATTGATAACTTAGTAAGAGCACAGATAATGGAGTAACAGACTATTTCCCATTGATTTTAAGTTTCTGAGTGGTAGATAAAAATATAGTTTTCATTATATATATACCTATGTCTCTCAGTATACAAACAATGATGGTTATATTGGGGGTAGAGCACTTTAAGTAACTTTTTTTTTTTTTAAGTAGGGGCTTGAACTCATGTCCCTGAGATGGAAACCTGAGCTGAGATCAAGAGTCAGATGCTTGGGGCGCCTGGGTGGCTCAGTTGGTTAGGCGACTGCCTTCGGCTCAGGTCATGATCCTGGAGTCCTGGGATCGAGTCCCGCATCGGGCTCCCTGCTC